GTGTACAGGGAATGATCTGAGTGCGTTTGAGAAGAACGTGTACAGGAAATGTTCGGAGTGTGCTTGAGAAGAACGTGTACAGGGAATGATCTGAGTGCGTTTGAGAAGAAGGTGTACAGGGAACGATCTGAGTGCGTTTGAGAAGAACGTGTACAGGGAACGATCTGAGTGCGTTTGAGAAGAACGTGTACAGGAAATGATCTGAGTGCGTTTGAGAAGAACGTGTACAGGAAATGTTCGGAGTGCGCTTGAGAAGAACGTGTACAGGAAATGATCTGAGTGCGTTTGAGAAGAACGTGTACAGGGAATGATCTGAGTGCGTTTGAGAAGAACGTGTACAGGAAACGATCTGAGTGCGTTTGAGAAGAACGTGTACAGGGAATGATCTGAGTGCGTTTGAGAAGAACGTGTACAGGGAATGATCTGAGTGCGTTTGAGAAGAACGTGTACAGGAAACGATCTGAGTGCGTTTGAGAAGAACGTGTACAGGGAATGTTCGGAGTGTGCTTGAGAAGAACGTGTACAGGAAATGTTCGGAGTGTGCTTGAGAAGAACGTGCACAGGGAATGATCTGAGTGCGTTTGAGAAGAACGTGTACAGGAAATGATCTGAGTGCGTTTGAGAAGAACGTGTACAGGAAATGTTCGGAGTGTGCTTGAGAAGAACGTGTACAGGAAATGATCTGAGTGCGTTCGAGAAGAACGTGTACAGGAAATGTTCGGAGTGCGCTTGAGAAGAACGTGTACAGGAAATGATCGGAGTGCGTTTGAGAAGAACGTGTACAGGGAACGTTCGGAGTGTGCTTGAGAAGAACGTGTACAGGAAACGATCTGAGTGCGTTTGAGAAGAACGTGTACAGGAAACGTTCGGAGTGTGCTTGAGAAGAACGTGTACAGGAAACGATCTGAGTGCGTTTGAGAAGAACGTGTACAGGAAACGATCTGAGTGCGTTTGAGAAGAACGTGTACAGGAAACGATCTGAGTGCGTTTGAGAAGAACGTGTACAGGAAACGATCTGAGTGCGTTTGAGAAGAACGTGTACAGGGAATGTTCCGAATGTGCTTGAGAGGAACCTATCCGGGAAATGTTGGGAGTGTGCGTGAGAGGAATGTGTGCAGGGAATGTTCGGAGTGTGGTTGAGAAGAATATGTATAGGAAATGTTTGGAGTGTGCTTGAGTGGAATGTGGTGTATTCTGCTTTTCTTGCATGGAGCATCCTGTTAGTAGCGTTTGGGTCAGCTTGGTTGACAGCGTGGTTCAAATCATTAACGTTTTTACTAATTTTCGTTCTGCTTAATTGATCAGTTATTGAGAAAGGAGTGTTGTAATGTCTAACTATAACTGTAGGTTTATCTATTGCTCCTTGCAGTTCTATCAGTTTTTCATTTATGTAACTTTGGAACTCTGCTATGAAGGCAAAAATGGGTATGACTTTTATGTTTTTGTGATGAGATTACCACTGTATTATTATAAGATAAACTTTCTAGCCCATAGTAATGTAGATATTTTTGCCCTGAGACCTATTTTATCTGATACTAATATAGTCACTCCAGATTTCTTTTTCTTAGTGTCTGTAGCATGGCATATCTTTTTTTCTGTCCTTTTAACTTATTTGTGTCTTTACTTAAAGCATATCTCTTATAGGCAGCATATTGTTAGGTATTGATTTTTTATTCAATCTGACAATATCTGCCATTTAATTGGGGGTATTTAAGCCGTTTATATATCATGTGATTATTGACATTGTTAAGTTTAAATCTGTTTTATGTTGGTCCCATCCATTCTTGGTCTCTTTTACCTCTTTCTCTGCCTTCTTTGGGATATATTAAATATTCTAAAAAGTAATTTTGTTGTCTACTGTTTTGGCTTTGTTTTGTTATTTTTGTGGTTGCTTTAAGTTTTATAGTGTACAGTCATACATCACTTAGCAACAGAGAGATGTTCTGAGAAATGCATCATTAGGCGATTTTATCATTGTGTGAACATCATAGAGTGTACTTACACAAACATAGGTGAGAGAATCTACTACACACCTACCCCTAGGCTATATGGTAGAGCCTATTGCTCCCAGGCCACAAATCTGTACAGCAGGTTACTATACTGAATACCGTAGGCAATTGTAATACAACGGTGAGCATTTATCTAAACAGGTGTAAACATAGATAAGGTACAGTTAAAATACTGTAAGGATAAAAAATGATACATCTGTATAGGGGACTGACCATGGACGGAGCTTCCAGAGCTACAAGTTGTGCTGGGTGTGTCAGTGAGTGAGTGCTGAGTGAATGTGAAGGCCTGGGACATTACTCTACGCTACTGTAGGCTTTATAAACACTCTACACTTAGGCTATACTACATTTATAAAAATGTTTTTTCTTTTTCCAATAATAAACTAACTTTAGCTTACTGTAACTTTTTTCCTGTATAAACTTTTTAATTTTAATATTAAATTTTAAAGTTAATTTAACGCTTTTGTAATGTATAATGTATTTACTTAAAACACAAATGCATCATACAGCTGTATAAAAATATCTTTTTCTTTATATCCTTATTCTATAAGCTATTGTCTTTTTTCTTTTCTTTCTTTTTTTTTTTTTTTTTTGCTTTTGAAACTGTTTTGTTAAAAGCGAAGACACAAACACACACATTGGCCTAGATCTACGCAGGCTAGGCTTTGGGATTATTAAGACATCAGTAGGTGATAGGAATTTCCCAGCTCCATTATAATCTTATGAGACCCCATCATATATATGGTCTATCATTGACCGGGACATCCTCATGCTGTCCATGACTGTACACTTTTGACTTATGGTCTGTATTTGCACAAGCCTGAGAGTCTGTGCCTCTTAAAATGTTGTGCCCTTGTGCTTCTCATGCCTCATCCTAGTTCTGGCTCTGGTTTGTATGTCCTTACCTGTTAATTCTAACAGCTGTGTCAGTTGTGGGCCAGTTTTGAGTGACTGGTTGAACTACTCATTGTCACTTCTATTTTCTTGTTTCTGTGCATACCCGCTGATTTTTGTGAGTTTTACATTGTTAGGTGCTGGATATTTTTGTACTCCTACACATAGTCTTGAGCTTTGTTTGGGGACACAGTTAAGTACTTGGAAACAGTTTGATATTTTTGGGCCTTGACTTTGAGATTTGTTAGGAGCATTGATCATTTTAAGCCCGGTGTTTCCCATGACTAAGGCCCCACGAATCTTGTGGTTTTTCAGGAGGGTTGGTGGGCCCAGGCACTATTCCCAGCCTTGTTACCTTGTTGATGGGAACGGTTACCTCTGATTCTTCGGAGTGTTACTGTCCCTGGCCTCTCGTGGTTTACTCTGAAGTGTGCGCTGATCAGGTCTCAGCTGAAGACTTGCAGCAGATCCTCTCTGAGGAGTTTTCTTCCTAAGCAGCTCTCTCCCTCTCAGCACTCTGTTCTGTGGACTCTGGAGGCCTTAGATGTCTTGGGCTCTCAGCTCATCTCTGCAACAGGGAGTCTGCCAGGCTCCTCCTGAGGAGGAGCTGTCCGTGGGTTTTGGCCTGGAAATCCTCAGGATAACAAACTGGGGCAATTTGAGGGCTCACCTCATTTCTCCCATCTTTCAGTGATCGTGATCCTTTGTTGCTGTTTTAGTCTCTTTCTGTTGCTTTAAAGCAATACCTGAGGCTGGTATTTATAAAGAAAACAGGTTTACTTGGCTGACAGTTCTGCAGGCTATACAAGAAGCATGGAGCCAGCATCTGCTTCTGGTGAGGACCTCAAGCCGTTTCCACTCATGGTGGAGCAGGTGTCACATGGAGAGAAAAGAAGGAAGACAAAAACGTGGGGAAGGAGGCGCCAGGCTCTTTCTAGCAACCAGCTCTCTTGGAAACTAATGGAATGAGAACTCATTAGTCTGCTGCTAGGGCAGCACCAGGCTGTTTATGAGGGACCAGCCTCCACAAGCCGCACGTCTCCCACTCAGCCCCCGCTCCAACATTGGGCATCACATTTTAACATGAGATTTGGAGGGTACAGATGTCCAGACTGTACTAGTTGCCTTAAGTATGGCGTCTTCCAAGTCTTTGTTTCATTTATTTGGTCAGCTTTATTTATTTATTTATTTGAGATGGAGTTTCACTCTTGTCGCCCAGGCTGGAGTGCAGTGGCGTGATCTTGGCTCACTGTAACCTCCTCCTCCCGGGTTCAAGAGATTCTCCTGCCTCAGCCCCCTGAGTGGCTGGGATTACAGGTGCCTGTCATCACACCCGGCTAATTTTTGTATTTTTAGTAGAGACGGGGTTTCGCCATGTTGGCCAGGCTAGTGTCGAACTCCTGACCTCAGGTGATCCACCTGTCTCGGCCTCCCAAAGTGCTGGGATTACAGGCATGAGCCACCGCACCCGGCACAGTTTTTATTGTTGTTTCGTTTCGGGAGAAAGGGTAAAGCAGTCCTTATTACCTAATCTTGGCATTAACAGAGGTCCCTGTTCTGCCCATTTTAAAGCCTGGTTTTAAGCATACACACCACTGAGGGGAGCTTCCTGAGAAATTCAAGCTCTCGTTCTCTTCAGTTTGTCTCAGCAGAAATATACGCTCAGCTTCAAAAGCCCTTTAAACTCTTAGTTCGTTCCTTGGAAGTCAGAACATCATTCTTCCACTGAGATTTCAAATTTTCTTTTACCTTTAGTGCAATTAATTTGTCAATGAGTCGTTAAAAATTTCAACTAGTGGTTTCACCACACACGAATAAAAAGTATCGCTTTGGTAAATGTTATATTTGCAAACTGTAAATACATTTAACTGCTCACTTCTGGCACACACACACACAGTGCCTCATATTTATATCTGTTGAAGAAGAGAATGAAAAGCACACTGAATTTTGAATAAGACAGAAGTGGCTTTCTTGAATCCAGCCCTGTAAATCAAGCTTCTCTTTCCTCTCAGCCCCTACTTAGTAAGCATTAAATGAGATATGTGAAGTGCAGGGACATTTAGTAGGTGTTGACAGCCCTCTTCTCCCTTCTGCTAGGTGGAGGCTAAAGTGACTCTGTCTCAGGAGCGGATCTGCCATGTTGACTTCTGATGAACTCTAATTCTGAGAACGCCTCTAAGATTTCCAGTTTACCTATCGTTCCTTGTATTAGCGCATGTGTACTTACCGTAAACGCTGCCCTTAGGCCCAAACGACCTTAATGTTATCATGGAAGTTACTGGCTATGACGTACACAGCATTCTTGTCTTTTCCTGGAAGGTCACCGTGATAGTGCCTGTAAGCCCTTTTCCTTTACTACAGAAGCCGAGGCCTGGGGGGTGGTGACAGCGTGGAGATCCACCTGTGTTGCGGCTGCCCAAGACCACGCTTCTGTCCATAAGTTCCCCAGTAAATCCTCCTCTCCCGGCAAACTGGATTTGCCTGTCTGTACTTCGGTTTCCGGGCTCCTTCTGCATTTGGCGTCAGTCTGTGTATATGGCCCTTTCTCGAAACATTCCCCATCCTCACTGGAAGCTACCCCCTTTCTCCTATTTTATATAATTTCTTTTGGCTGAAATAAGTAAGCCACAAACAATGGGAAATCTGTTTTTTGTTTTTTTTTTCCCCTGAAATACACTGAAATCCCTTGGTGGATGCACACTGGGTAGATAGAGGAGCAACATCCTATAGTCAGTATTTGGGGCAGCATTTCACCATGTTCAGGGAACACACTTCCTCCAGTGGTGGGTCTGCCTCCCCAGCACGGTTATGGAGTCACAGCTCCTCAGAGCAGCAAAGATCGCGAGGGAGTCAAGGGATGGAGCAGCCCCAGCTCCCTGCTGGGCTGGAGGAGGGGTGAGTGGGCACAGCCTGGGGAGGGAAAGTGGCTTGACTGGGGTTCTGGGCTGGTGGGGTGAGGCTGGATTTCAGGCTTGTCTCTCCTGGTCCTCAATGCGGTGCTTGCTCTTACACAGTGGCGAGTTCTGCCCTTACGGAGACGCTATGCACAACTGATGAGGAATTCTCAGCATCATTTGGGGCTCGTCCGGAATGTGACTCAAGCATACCCTTTCGAAAGCCTGGTGTTATGGACTGCCTGTGCGTCCCCCCAAAATGTGTAAGTCTTAATCCTCAGTGCAACGGTCTTTGCAGGTGGGGTCCGTGGGAGGTAATTAGGTCATGAGGGTGGAGTCCTCATGAATGAGATTAGTGTCCTCATGAGAAGAGGCGTGAGTGAGAGCATCTCTTGCTCTCTCTCTCCCTCTTGCTCCCTCTCTCTACCACGTGGGGCCACAACAAGAAGTCAGCTGTCTGAAAGCTGGAAAGAAGACCCTCACTAGGAGCCGGATCTACCAGCATCTTGACGGTGGGCTTCCAGCCTCCAGAACTGTGCGCAAACAACCTCCGCTGTTTAAGCCGCCCAGGCTGTGGTGTTTCGTGAGCTGACTGAGACCTAGTAAAAAGTTGGGGTGCCATGCAATAAGCAGAGTCCTTGCCTTGGCCCGCCTGGCTCCCACCAGGCCAGGCAAGCATCCACACTTCCACCCATCCCTCTTTACAGAGGGGCTGTTTATCTGAGTAGCCACAGTGTTCTAGGCCCTGGGGATGGAGCAGTGACCAAAACAGACAAAACTCCCAGCCCTCAGGGAGCTGAGCGCTGTTAGAGGAGTTAGAGGCAGATAGGATGGTAGGAAAACTCCACGTCCTCGTTGTGTTGGTATCAGAAGGTGGTGAGTGTACTGGGGAAAATACAGCAGAGAGGGCCTGGGAATGTAGTGGGGCCTCGGGCCCTCACTGACCTGGATCCTACCTCTCCCTGGCTCGAGCCTCCCTGGTTACCCCATGGTCTCTCCCTGATGCATGGGAGCCTTTTCTGGTATGTAATCCCCGCACAGGGATGCTCAAGATGGGCTCTGGGAGAAGGGTGAGCAGACAGTGGCAATGCCAGGAAGGGAAGAGTTTCTGGGGCTGTCTCATCAGTGCTGCTGGGCATGGATGGAGGATTGGGAGGACAGGGGGCAGTCCTGGGCTTCCTCACAGGAGAATGTCCTGGAGGGTGTCACACACAGACTCCTCAGCCTTCAGGAAAGGGCCTCCTGCCTGGGTTCCACCGCATGCATCGGATGGAAGGAATCCCTTTCTCTGGCAGGTGCAGGCTCAGAGGCACAAGCTGGGGCTTGGGCTCCGTGGCTGGTTGGTGGTGTTCCTGCATCGCAGCTCCTGCCACGGGGCAGTGATGCCGAGTCCTCCCTGCTCCTCAGGGTTTCCTGGAAAGCTGCAACCTGGTTGCAACAAAGCGTGGATGCCAGTGTCACCCACCACTAGCTTTGTCACCTCCATCCTCAATTACCTACCAGCAGGAAATCCTGCCTTCCTCCCCTGTTGCTGGGGCCTGGCACGAGGTGGTCCATTCTCTGGCTCATCCATTCCGTAGGTGCTGAGCATCTCGGATGTGCCATCTCTGAGCGGGCAAGCCCCTGCACTGCACGTGCCAGACATGCTGGAGCCTGTGGGCTGTGGCCAGCCATCCTCATTTGCGATGGAGAGATGAGTGGGAGGGGTAGGGGCTCTGCGAGGGCACCAAGGGGAGGTGGCTTAATAGTCCCTGGAAGTCAGATATGCTTCAGATGGGAAAAGGAGGGGAGAAGCCATTCCAGGCGGGGGCTGCCCCGTGAGTGCTTGGGGAGTGGGGGCACGACAGGGACCTGTGGCCACAGCGGATGCTGGATGTGGCTGCAGAGATGCTGGCGGGCCAGGCCACGCAGGCTGGTGGGAGGAGAGAAGAGAGTTCTTTCCAGGACAGCTGGGGATATCTCTTCATTATTCTTTTGCTCAAAATAGAATTGTCTTTTGAAATCAGATTTGACAGGCAGCCCAGGCACTTTGCCTGCGCTGTCTGGAGGAACTGGCTTTCTCGCCTACAGATGATACGTTTTTCCCTTCCAGAGGAAGAGGGAGTAGCATTCTGCTGGTTTTAGAGAACGTGGGAGTGAGGAGGGAGAAGGGCAAGCCATGGATTTAGAAGGGTGAGGCAGGGCAGAGTGCAGTGGAGGAGGCTGGGATGAAAGTCAAGGGTGACCTGAAGCCAGTGCCATTCCCTGTTAGAAACCAGAACCCATATTGCTGGTGGGTGGGCAAGGGCTCACTTCCATGACACTGGGCACTGTGCTCACAGCACCTGCCTCTGGGGCCTCCCCGGCGGGTGAGGGGGGCATGCAGGCTTGGGGGCCTCCCAGGAGTCCCCGGGATGCAGCCCCACAGAGCAGGGCCCTGGCTGACAAGACGGTCTGGCCCAAGCCCCTGATTCTCAGAGGAACAGGCATCTGCTGCTGTGTCGACAAGACGAGAATCCACTGGGAGCTCTGGGGGAAGAAGGAAAAGTGGAGTGATGGAGGAGATGGGGGTGTGGGGACCCGGGGGAGCGAGGGGATGAGGGGTACTCAGAGATAACAAGAGAGGGGCCAGAAGCCAGAGAACAGGGCCAGGACCTGGCTCGGCCACTGCCGCCCTTAGTTTCCCAACCCGGAAGAGTGGGTTGTGCAGACCCTTCCTGCCTGGCTTAGGTAGTCGGTGGAGCTAGGGGCAGGCCCTGTGCTGCATGGTGCCCTCTGCAGCTCTCTGTCCCTCTGCCTTCCTTTAAGCCACCTGTCCCTGTCCACTCTACCTCCTAGGCTGGGTCTGGTTGTATCTGGTCTACCCCCAATTTGCCCTTGTACGTGTCACGAGGCTGGGCCCACAGTGCACACATAATACCTGTGCAGTGAATGGATGAATGGATCAACACAACAGTGAAAAATCTTTGGGGAAACCTTTAACAAAAGGCAGGACGAGGATTCTTTCCACACACGGAGAATTGAACATAGGCACGTCCTGTCTCCTGTCAAAATGTCATTTAAGTAACAGTGCAGGAGTTAAAAGGGTATAAACTCAGAAGCACAAAAAGAGCAGGGAGGACACATATTAGACACAAGAATATACCCAAAGGAATAGAAATCATTCTACCATAAAGACACATGGAGGTATACGTTCATTGCAGCACTATTCACAATAGCAAAGACGTGAAATCAACCTAAATCCCCCTCAAGTGTAGACTGGATAAAGAAAATGTAGTACATATACACGATGGAATACTACACAGCCATGAAAAAGAACAAGATCTTGTCCTTGGTGGAAAGGATGAATTTGGAGGCCATTGTCCTAAGTGAACTAATGCAGGACCAGAACACCGAACACTGCATGTTCTCATTTATAAGTCGGAGCTAAACATTCACACTGAGTAGATACAGACACAAAGAGGAGGCCAGTGTACACTGGGGCCTGCTTCTTGGGTGGAGAATGGTGGGAGGGTGAGAATTGAAAAGCCACCTATTGAATACTATGTTTATTACTTGGGTGATGAAATAATCTGTACAGCAACCCCCCACGATACACCATTTACCCAATAACCAACCTGCACATGTACCCCTGAACCTAAAATGTAAGTTAAAAAAAGTTCAGAAAATTTTGAAAACCTGAAAGTGGAAGATAAATAGTAAAGGACTTTGCAAACCTGAGAAAGCTGAAAGCTAAGATCTATGAATTGATACAAAACCCAGAAAGGCTCAGGAATTGAAGGCGCCAGGTGCCCAGAGCAGAGGGATTGGGGTTGGCTTGGAAACTGGAGAAGTGGACACTAGCTTTCAGGGAAAACCCACCCAGATTCAAGCCCTGAAAATGAAGCTGGCCTAACTGGCTCCGTGGCCTGTGTTTGTGCTTCTCCTACTCTACAGAGACAGGCTGGGATTTCTGAGCCCTCTGCAGGCTCAGGGGGAAGGGCAGATTCTGGAGAAGAAGGCCCCAGCAGCAGGAGCAATCCCAGCCGCAGAGCCAGACTCCTGTAGTCAGGCCTGGCCCACGTCCGGCCGATCAGCGCATGGCTGGAGGACCGCACATCTGGCTGTGACGTTGGCTGCCTTCCTTTCGTTTCTACTTCAGCAACCCAGCCCCAGGAACAGCTGCATGGGAGGTAAATGGAAACTTTGTGGACAGAGTCCAGTGGTCACCCAGGGCTGGCGACGCTTCTGCCTTTAAGGTGTCCTGGGCACCCGAGCAGCTGTGGGCTACGGCTTATACTTTCCCTGACTGCGATGGCTTTATGGGATGTGAGACACAGGCCATTCACCTTTTACCCCAGTCATGCAGCTAATCACCAGAGCATTTCACCGCCTCAGCCGTGGCTGCAAAACACTGAGCCGATTATGGAAAGGGCAGAACACGAATGCTCTTGTGGAATTTTCAGTAGCGATAAGCATTTGCTGAGATTGAGTGTGATGTGAACTCAGCGCCCTCTCCATCTTACTGTGTGACCTGAAGCCCAATGACCCGGTCCCTGGGTGGACCCTGTCCCTGGTGGACCCTGCCCGTCGGTGGCCCCTTCCAGGCAGGCCATTGGTCTTCGTGCACTCGGTCAGCTGTGGCTGGTACCTGTCCTCCTCAGGCCCCCTCTCAGGTAAGACAAGGTGTGGGACCTGGGGCTGGCGGAAGCCAGGATCCCTGGCCCTGGAATGGTCGGCGGTGAGGGTCTCGTGGAGCTCATCCCACCGCGGCAGCTCAGAAAGATGAAGTGGTTGTCCCATTTGTGTCCCCCCAGCACACAAACCTGGTGTCAGTGGCTCCAAGGCCCAGGAGGAGCTCCAAAAGCCACACACTGAGAAGATGTGTCATGGCCAAGTCCCACAGGGAGGCTGTGGTGGACTCCGGGCTGCCAACAGGGCCTGGCCCTGCGTTCTGCCAGGGGCTCTCGGCATGCCCCATGGGACCCCCACGGATGACCGTAGGACCTGACGGCCCCTCCAGGTTTCCAGAAGGAAGAAAACAGGATCTTGGGTGTTGGCGGTGGGTCCCAGGAATCTCCTCTCAGTGAAGCCATCTCGTTCTTCCAAGGGCTCAGGTCCAAAGCCCGGAGCCTTTTGGCCTTCCTCTCCCCTCACTCCCCATCAGCATATACAGCCAGGACTGGGCCTCTGCTCCCTCCTGCCTTCCCCACTCACCCATGGGCCAAGCGTCCAGCTTCTCGCCTGGATGACCTTGGGGCCTCCCTCCTGTCAGATTACACCTGCTACACCCGAGTCACGTCAAGTCCCACCTGTGCTCATGGTCCCCAGCCCTCCTTTTTGCCTTTTCCTGATTGTTTTTCTCCATTGCACTTGTTCGTAGCTGGCCTGGCTTATATTTCCTGGTTCATTTGCATTTTGAGTCTACCCCGCTGCACGGTGAATATGTGAGCAGTGTTTTGTTTGTTTTGTCAACAGCTATATCCTCAGTGCCTACAGGGTCCCCAGCATGGAGCTCTGCTGAACATGTTGATGTAGCGACACAGCCAGAGCTCCAGGCAGAGACCCCGTGGGTGGTGGTGTGCGCTCGGTGGCACCTGTGAGGTCACCTACGATGGCAGCCATGCAGTCCAGACCGTGGGAGCTCCACGGCCCAGCCGTACACAGCGAGTAATGGCAACCCTAGCTTCTTACCACCCGCCACGCACCTTTTAGATTCAAGCATGGGCTCGGGGTCCTTGGCCTCAATATTCTTATCTATTAAATGGGATAATGACACACCTCCCTCAGTAATAGTAATGTGGATGGACAGATCTCCAAAGTGGATGGGACAGCGGGACCAGCACACCTCTGTCCCCAGGTGTCACTGCCCTGTGGGATTTCTCTTTTGGATCCCTGAGCCAAGTGCTCTGGGTCATAAGTATCCCAGAGGTCTCCGCTCCTGAATTCAGCAGAGGCAGGGTGGGATGTGCAAAATCAGCTTCCTGCAGGCCCTTCTCTGGCCTCATCTGACCTTCCCAGCATGGCTGTCGGGAAAGTAAGAGTGCAAAGGGCTGGCATCTCCGTCTCATGCCCTGTGAGGCCGGTTGGTCTTCCCCACCTTCGACCTTCGGAGGACCAGGGAGCAGCTGGTGTTAGGGGACTCCTCCCTCAGCCGTTGGCATGCTGGGGGGCTGGGGTTCAAGCCCGCACTGCCCTCCTGGGAGCTGGGCCGCCTTCCTTTCCCTACTGATGGTGGAGCAGAGCTGCAGCTGCTTTTCAGGAGGGCATGTCAGGGCATGTAGGCATCTGACCTTTCCGGCAGCCACTTCCTTCCCATCACTCAGCCGCACTTGCAGGCTGCCCTGTCTCAGAGAGGAGGAAATGAGGGTGGAGAGCTCTGAGGCCTGAGCCTCTGCGGACCTAGCCTGGCAGGAAGAGTCTGTAGGGTTTGCAGTACGGGTACTTGCCCAGGAAGGGCCCGGCAGGCTCCACCTCCTTGGTGACCTATGGGCAGGCTCACTAGGGACCCTCCTGATGGCGGGGCACCGCTGGGTGGTGGGACGTCCCACACCCCGACAAAGTGAGTGTGGCCGGGATGGCCTTCTCTAAGAGGGGCTGTCACCTTTTCACCCTGCTCTGTTCTTGGGACAAATGCAGCCCTGTTCTCCAAGCTTGATGGCCTGGGTTTTGTATGGGCTGCACCGGGATTGTGCGGCTGTGACGAGGGGCCTTTTAGCTCCCTGGTCCAGAGTCAGACAGTCCTGACCGGAATCCCTCTGGACGGGGCAGCCACTGGGTGATGCAGGCAGGCAGGCCCTTCCTGTGCCAGTGGTTAAATGTCCTTCTATGATCAGCCGCAAGCCATGGGCTCTGCTCCTATAGCCTTGTGATGCCCAGAGCAGACTTCTGGAGATTCAAAGCACCCCGGATGCGTTTCTTCTACAAAGGGTAGAGAGAAAGTCTGGGGTAGAGTGGGCCCAGGCCGGGAGCCCTGAGCAGCCCTGAGGAATCAGGAGGCAGGGAGGGAGTGAAACTGGGCTCCAGACCAGGCTCGTCTGGGCTCGGCTTCCAGGATGTCTTCTCCAGCCTTGCAGCCTGCTGCTATGGTGCTCCTGCTCTGGTTCCTTCGGCAACCACTTAATGACCTGCCACTGGGCCCTCGGTGAGCCTAGTCAGTGAGGGAGATGGAGCCGGGGTTGTGCTATTCAGGGGAGGCTACGCTAGAAGATGCAGTGGCAGGCTTCAGTCTAGCCTCAGGGATCTCCAGTGGAAGCAGGTCAAGGAGGTCTCCTGGAGGCACTGACCCTGGCCAGCCCAGAGCACTGGCAGCAGTGGTGCAAGCCCAGGAGAGGAGGCAGAACAAGGCCCAGAAGTGCAACCTGGTGTGTGTGTCAGCAATGTTGGGCAACGAGGTAGGGCAGCGTGGAGTTGGGAGATGAGACATGTCACACAGGGGCCTGGGTAGTGTGTTAATGAGTTTAAACTTTCTCTTGCAGAGGGGGGCTGTAGAGGAGCTTCAAGCTGGGGAGTGATATGGTCAGATTTGGATTTGACACCTGAAGGAGCGTGGATTGCAGGGAGGTTGGCTGGAGGCATGGAAACTGAGAAGGAGACGGGGCAGCCAGCTTAGCAAAGTGAACAGTGGCTCAGCAATGGGGAGGGAGTAACCAGAGGGGTGGAGAGCTACTTGGGAGGCACTCAGGGCTGCGGAGTGGTCCTTGATTAGACATGGAGGACGGACCAAAGGGAGGAGTCCTTTACAGCAGCTGTGGGAATAGAGGACATTAGAAGCCACCTAGCTTAGCCAACCTGGAGAAGTCTTCCCTGGGTGGGGCCCAGGATGGCCACGTGGGGTGGCCATAGGCTCTGGGGCCTGCTGGCTTAGAGCATCCTTGAGCTATAAGCCTGGCAGGCAAAGTGCTTAAATATTTATCACAAACAGAAATTGATGTTGGAGAACTAAATTCTCAAAAAGGAAGTTGAAAGGAAAGGGAGGGTGGGACCTCTGAATCCCAATTTGTAGCATGCGGCCTCTGCATATTTCATTAACTCCTCAGAGTGTGGCAGGCCCAGATGTTCAGGATGTGAGGAGGTTCTGCTAGTCACACTCCCGTGCTCCGCCCCTGCAGCAGCTCATTATTCCGGGGCTGTGTAAGGAAGGTCAGAGGCAAGGATGCTCGAAAAAGGAAGAGTGAATAAAATTGTGATGGACGGGGAAGGACTTGTGTCAAGCTGCTGAGGGAATAAGAAGAATGAGAAGCGAGTTGACATTTGAAATGAAAACCAGGAAAAGGCAGCAGGGTGTTTAGAAAGAGCACTGACTTTGAATTAAGCCAGACCTCATCCATTCACCAGCTCTGAGAACTTCAGGAAATTTCTTGATATCTCTGGATTTTACAAGGTACAGATAATATGATCTATAAGCATCATCACCATAATCATCATTATCACCATCATTATCATCACCACCACCATCATCACCATCAACACTACCACCACTATCATTATCACCACCTTTGTAATCACTATCATGTACCATCACCATGCCATCATCACATCACTATCACCATCACTGCCATTATCACCATCTCCATAATCATTATCATCACCACCATCACTATCACCACCATCACCATCACTGTCATTATCATCATCTCCATAATCATTATCATCACCACCATCACTATCACCACCATCACCATCACTGTCATTATCATCATCTCCATAATCATTATCATCACCATCATCACTACCACCACCATCACCATCACTGTCAATATCACTATCTCCATAATCATTATCGTCACCATCATCACTACCACCACCATCACCATCACTGTCATTATCACTATCTCCATAATCATTATCATCACCACCATCACTATCATCACCATCACTGTCATTATCACCATCTCCATATTCATTGTTACCATCATCACTTCATCATCACCATCACTGTCATTATCACTATCTCCATAATCATTATCATCACCATCATCACTACCACCACCATCACTATCACCACCATCACCATCACTGTCAATATCACTATCTCCATAATCATTATCGTCACCACCATCACTATCATCACCATCACTATCACCACCATCACCATCACTGTCATTATCACTATCTTCATAATCATTATCATCACCACCATCACTATCATCACCGTCACCGTCACTGTCATCATCACCATCTCCATAATCATTATCATCACCATCATCACCGTCACTATCACCACCATCACCATCACTGTCATTATCACCATCTCCATAATCATTGTCACCATTGTCACATCATCATCACCATCACTGTCATTATCACTATCTCCATAATCATTATCATCACCACCATCACTATCATCACCATCACCGTCACTGTCATTATCACCATCTCCATAATCATTATCGTCACCATCATCACATGATCATCACCGTCACTATCACCACCATCACCATCACTGTCATTATCACCATCTCCATAATCATTATCATCATTACCATCACTATCACCACCATCACCATCACTGTCATTATCACCATCTCCATAATCATTATCATCACCACCATCATCATCACTGTCATTATCACCTTCTTCATAATTATTATCATCACCACCATCATTATCACCACCATCACCATCACTGTCATTATCACCATCTCCATAATCATTATCATCACCACCATCACTATCATCACCGTCACCATCACTGTCATCATCACCATCTCCATAATCATTATCATCACCATCATCACTGTCACTATCACCACCATCAACATCACTGTCATTATCACCATTTCCATAATCATTGTCCCATCGTCACATCATCATCACTGTCACTGTCATTATCACTATCTCCATAATCATTATCATCACCACCATCACTATCCTCACCATCACCGTCACTGTCATTATCACCATCTCCATAATCATTATCGTCACCATCATCACATCATCATCACCATCACTATCAGCACCATCACCATCACTGTCATTATCACCATCTCCATAATCATTACCGTCACCATCATCACATCATCATCACCATCACTATCACCATCACTATCATTATTGCCTTCTCTATAATTATTATCATCACCATCATCGTTCCTATCACCACCATCACCTCATTACATCATCATCATTATCATCATGCTCATCACCTCATCATCACAATGATGGTTATTATCACTATCATCATTTTTATAATTTTCATCACGTTGAAAACTTACTATGTGCCTGACATATTAATCAATCTATTCCTCAAAACAGCTGTGTCATTATAGAATATTATCATGCCCATTTCACAGTTGAGGAAACTGATGCATAACAAATTAGGCCCAAGTTGACCAAGAGCCAGTAAATGGCAGAGTGCTTCTGCCTGTCAGCACAGGCATCTCCGGGATTGAGGGTCATTGTGAACATTAAGTGCATGTGCACCCAGTGATGCTTGTAAATTGCTGGCTGGAAGCAGGGCTTATTACATGGAAATTCTTGCTGCCTATGCTTTTGTTGTTGAAGAGCAGCTGTGTTCCAGTCTTGTCAAGGGGTGGTGAAAGTCAGGTTCAGCCGTGTGAAGCATGAACAAAGTCCAAAGATGTTTTTCAGACCCTTGTGTGTGCCGGGCAATGTGCAGGTAGACACTGGGCTGTGAGGTGCTTGAGCCCAGCACCAAGAAACGTGTCTTCATGACTCTGCAGCGAGGTCCAGGAGATGCTTCATCTGCTGGGGCAGGTGGAGACTCCTGCCTGCTGCAAAGTGAGCCACGGACTGGTGGTTGCTATATCACCTCC